TGCCCCAAATTTGGGGGCCACACCCAAAACTTAATAAGCCACACCCATAACTCTAAAGCCACACCCACAACTGTTAAACCACGCCCCCTTAGTCCCATTTTTAAGATATTTTATGCATTTTTTTGCACTTAAATGCCATTTTTTCTGCCTTTTTTCACCCAAATTTCACCTCCCACCCGCCAGGCTCCGCCCCCAGCCCCCCGATCCGGTGGCCACGCCCACAAACCTTAAGCCACACCCACAAGCCTTAAACCACACCCCCTTATTCCTATTTTTAGCATTTTAACCCCATTTTTTCACCTTTTTTCACCCAAATTTCGCCTCCCACCCGCCAGGCTCCGCCCCCAGCCCCCCGATCCGGTGGCCACGCCCACCCTGGTTCTGGTCGGTGCCGCGGCGAGCCTCGGCCACGCGCTGGGAGAGGCGCTGGAGCTCGGGGAGGTGCCGGGAGAGCCGGGCGGCCTCGCGCTGACCCCGCAGCACCAGGGGCAGCAGCAGGATTCGGGCCCCCACCGTGCCTGAAAATGAAGAAAAAACCAAAATTCGGTAAATTTGATAAAATTTGGGGCGAGCACACAAAAAAACCCCATGCAAATTAGTAAAAAAATAAGAAATTTTTGCTTAAAAATGTGATTTTTCAGCTAATTTTTTGATAGAATTGTCATTTTTTCACCCTTAATTCTCCCCAAATTTTTTCAAATTCCACCCAAATATTCCTCTTAAACGTCGCCAAAAAAAATCTCAATTTTCCCCCCAGAATCCAAATTTTTCACAGCAAAATCTCAAATATCCCCCCTAAATCAAAAATTTCCCCATCAAAAATCACAATTTTCCCCCAAAAACCAAAATTCCCTCTCGAAATCCCAATTTTTCCCACAAAACCCACAAATATTGGCCTAAAAACTGTAATTTTCCTCCCAAAACCCAAAATATTCCCCTGAATCATCTCCAAGAAATCCAAATTTTCCCCCAAAACTCCAAATTCTCCCTAAAACTTCTCTAACACTCCAAATTTTCTCCCCAAAAATCCACAAATATTCCCCTAAAACTTCCCTAAAACCCAAATTTCTCCCAGAAATTTCAATTTTTCTTCTCAAACCTCCCTAGAACTCCAAATATTCCCCTAAATCTCCCCAAAAATCCCCAATTTTTACCCTAATTTTCCTCTAATTCCAAATTTCCCCCCAAAACTCAAAATATTCCTTAAACCCTCCACCAAAACCCCAATTTTTCCCCCAAAATCCCAAATTCCCTCCCTAAATCACAATTTTTCCCCTCAAAACCCCCAAATATTCCCCTAAAACCTCCCTAAAATCCCAAATTTCTCCCCTAAAACCCCAAATTTCCCTCCAAAACCCCAATTTTCCCCCAAAAACCCCAAATTCCCACCCTAAATCCCTATTTTTCCCCTCAAAACCCCCAAATATTCCCCTAAAACCTCCCTAAAATCCCAAATTTCTCCCCTAAAACCCCAAATTTCCCTCCAAAACCCCAATTTTCCCCCGAAAACCCCAAATTCCCACCCTAAATCCCTATTTTTCCCCTCAAAACCCACAAATATTCCCTTAAAATCCCCAAATTCACCCCAAATATTTCTGAAACCTCGCTAAAAACCCAAATTTTGCCCCCAAATATTACCCTAACACCTCCCTAAAACCCTAAATTTCTCCCCTAAAACCCCAAATTTCCCCCAAAACCCCAATTTTCCCCCCAAAACCCCAAATCCCTATTTTCCCCTCAAAACCGCCAAATATTCCCTTAAAATCCCCACATTTACCCCAAAAATTTATGAAGCCTCACTAAAAACCCAAATTTGCCCCCAAAACCCACAAATATTCCCCTAACACCTCCATAAAATCATAAAATTCTCCCCTAAAACCCCAAATTTCCCCCAAAACCCCAAATCCCTATTTTCCCCTCAAAACCACCAAATATTCCCTTAAAATCCCCACATTTACCCCAAATATTTATGAAGCCTCACTAAAAACCCAAATTTGCCCCCAAAACCCACAAATATTCCCCCAAAACCTCACTAAAAACCCAAATTTGTCCTTAAAACCACAAATATTCCCCTAAAACTTTCTTAAAACCCAAAACTTCCCCCTAAAAGTCCCAAACTTCCACCATAAATTCCAATTTTTTCTTTTCAACCCTCCCCAGAATCCCAAACATTTCACTAAAACCCCAAATTTCCCCCCAAAACCACAAATATCCCCCAGTCCCAAACTTCCACCATAAATTCCAATTTTTTCTCTTCAAACCTCCCCAAAACCCCCAAATTTTTCCCAAAACTCCCAAATTTCTCCCCAAAACCCCCAAATTTGGCTCACCTGCGGCGATGGCGCCCCACCAGGGCAGCCCCAGGTCGAGGTGCAGGAATTCCAGAAGGTTCTGGATCATTCCCACGGGGCTGGAACCGCCCAGGCCCAGCTCCTCCAATCGGGGCTCCCCCAAATTTGGGGGATTTCCCAAAAATTCCGGCGCTTCTGGGGTTTGGGGAGGGGGGGAGGC